TTCTCTCCCGTTTATATTGATTCTCACGTTTCATCTCTCATCTCATGCACCGCATGTATTCTCTGTATCTTTCCCTCAAATCCGAATTTTCTTAATTTCTAATGTGTTAATACTCTTCAATCGATTCCCAGCAATTTTTCTTTCTTCCTTCTTTTTGTATAAAATATTTTAGATCTCAGAATAAGCTTAAGAAATGGCTTCAATTTCTTCAAGTCCTCGAACTGTAGAAGAGATCTTCAAGGATTTTAGCGCTCGTCGGGCTGGAATTGTTCGGGCTTTAACTCAGGGTAACTATCAACTGTGATTTTCCTGTAATGAAAATATACTCCAAATTATTTTTCAATTTTGGCTGAGGGATGCAATTTTTGCTCTTCCAGATGTAGATGAGTTCTACGGTCTGTGTGATCCAGGTAATTTTAGCTCGAATTCGCCATTTCTTACTGTAGATCGGAATTCGTTTTGAGGTTTTGAGGTCTTTTTCTTTTCTTGGTGGGATCTTGGAATGTGGAACTTTACTGTGTATTGTTCGGTGGAGGAAATAGGATAGATTTATTCTTCTTGGTTAGTGGTTCCAAGTCAATTTAGCTACTACTTTTCGCCTTTTCAAATCCAAATTTGCTAAACTTTTTTACTGATTTGAGCAACATATTAATTAAAACAATTACTGATTATTGTGTTGTAGAAGCACACTCCTTGTGTGTTTAATTTTGTATTAGCACCCAGTTAAAAAATGCAATTTGTAAGCTAAACTGGATACATTTTTTGCGTAGTATCAAGCTTGTATATTTCATGGATCCCTTGTTTTTTGCTTGTCAAATGCGTCATATCCCTTTACTTATCAAAGAAAGGAAAAAGCAATTTGCAACCTTAAACATCAATGCCCATTGGCTGCATAAAGAAAAAGTAGAAATTTTATAGTAAAAGAAAGTCAGGACTTCTAGTAAACAAAGTTTGTTGTTTGCTTCTAGGAAAGAAGCTTTCCATTTTATTGCCCTGTATTCTTCTTACATTCTTTCAAAACTTAATTCTTGATTAGTTTTTGTTAATTTGTGAATTATGATCCAAAGTTTCTTCTCCTTGTCACTTTTACATGTTTCTTTGTTGCATTTTTCATGTTTGTATAGAGAAGGAGAATTTGTGCCTATATGGACATGCAAATGAAACCTGGGAAGTCAATCTTCCTGCTGAGGAAGTCCCTCCTGAGCTTCCAGAGCCTGCCCTTGGGATAAATTTTGCAAGGGATGGTATGAACCGTAGAGATTGGCTTTCACTAGTTGCTGTGCATAGTGATTGTTGGTTGCTATCTGTGGCGTTCTACTTTGGAGCACAGATCAACCGGAATGAAAGGTATTCTTAGGAAAGTTAGCTTCTTGTAGTGATCTTGTTGATTTATGCCTTATATTATTTATTTATTTTTTATTTTATTTTTAAATTTGTCTTCTTTTCTCTTTGTTGTAATATAGCTTCCATCTGCATGAGTACGTGGCATATTTTTTAACAGTATCCAATTTGTGTTAAAATGTTGTTGATGAAATGTCTTGTGTACACTATTGTCTTTGGGTACTTCAACACACTTCTCTAGTTCTCTTCTGTTCCCATGGTGCTATTATGATACATTATTGTATAGTACGTCTCTCTGCCACATTTTTGAAGTTTTGAATTGCTTGTAATAATTTTATGTTTATTACCAAAGAAAGCACAAACTTTGCTAGACACGCTATTATGGTGTACTTTGCTAGACACCCTATTATGGTGTGACCTGCAAATAAAACTAATTGAGGTAATAAATGAAAATTAACTAATGTGTCTGTCCAATTCCTTGTTAGTTTCCAGCTTAAGAAGGGATATTAAGACACTTGGTAAGTCCATTGAAATAACTCTACATGTTTAATATCTCTTTCTAATCTGTAAACTAATGGACAATATGATGAAGCCTAACACGTGTGCTATCATGTTAGTGCTATATTAAATTTGTGCTTCAATTGGTAACTATTTAATGACCATACCACAATTGTGAAATTAGGCCAAGTCTGTCTATTTTTGTGGTTAGCCCTTTTTTAATGAGTTGTGATTGGTGATATGTTTTAGCCCTTTTAGGGGCTGGTTTTTATGTTTCCTTTTGTTTTAAATGGATATTTGCAATATGGGTGGACAATTATTCTATCATGTATCATGTATGCCACATACATTATGGCTAAATATATAATTGGTGCATTAATAAATATTTGTTGTTCTTCCAAGTGCTTGTATGCATTCTGGTGTCTTCTGTGGTAGTTCATGTCATTCATTAAATTCCTGGTGTTGAATGTAACTTGCTTGGTTCTGTCAATTGCAGTGTCGTAAAAATCACCTTAGGTGACTACCTAGGCGCTAGGCGCCCCTAGACCGAAGGGATTTAAACATTACTTGGCCATTAGGTGATCAGTCGACTAGGCAGCCAAATTGGCCGAGTAATTTTTATTAAAAAATCAGTTTGTTTAGCTCAAAATGATGTAGTTTTGAGCGAAACAAACCTAAACTCTAAATAACAATGAAAATCTAGCAAACCACGAAGGAAAATCAAACATTTAGACACACACCCAAAGCCCAAAGACCTACCTCTGACTTTTTTGCCTTTGACTTTTTTGACAATTTTTTTTTTTTTTTAAAACTTAGTGCCAAGGGACCCTCCTAGGCGCTCATCAACCGTCCAATGGGCGGCTAGCGATCTTTACAACATTGGTTATTGTTTGCGTTGTTTGAATTTAGTTAGAAAAAATATAGGATGATGCAAGAGAAGGTTATTTTAAACTTGTACAACCAATGCATACATTTCTGCTCAATTTGGTTAGAAATGAAGGGAAAGGAATAAAGGCTGTTGATGAGGTTTCCTTTTTGTTCTGGATTTCTTGCTACGTCTGCTCTTGCCACAGGATTCTGTGCAGTTAACTTTGAAAAAAAGTAATAGTTCTTCAATGATTATTGGCCTTATCTTTTTCCAGGGCTTAATTTCATAAAATATCTTCTTGTGATCATCTTCTTGCTGTTAGACACTTAAGGCTAAAATATTGCAAAATGGTACTAGCATTTCTTGAGCATTCCCCAACCTACCTCTTGGTTACACTTGAAATCTTTAAGCCATGAATGATAAAGGATGTTAATCATGCAGATAATGTTTCCTTTACTCCTAGAGTTCATAATATGCATCATAAACAGAAGTCATTTGTCATTTGATTTGCATCAGAAACTATACGTATTTGTTAATCTTTGTAGCAACCATAGTTGAATCCTTTCCACTGTTTTTCATGCACTTAAAACTTTCTGAACAATATGGAAATTCACACTCATGAATATTCTTCTAATGCTACATTTCCCTTCTTTGAGGTTCTGTATATTTGTGTCAATTCAACCACTTTTCTAGTGTGTATGAGTAAAAAACATAGAAGCAGAATCCAATTTAACACTTGGTTGTTGCTTATTTGACAGGAAGCGTCTTTTTAGCTTAATAAACGATCTTCCCACTGTCTTTGAAGTTGTGACAGAAAGAAAGCCCGTGAAAGACAAGCCCAGTGCAGATAGTGGGAGCAGATCACGGGGCAGTACAAAGGTGGTAAGCCAACATTGATATTACTATGTGTTATATGATTCTGGGTTGGGGTCTTTGTCTTGTATTCCTTAAATATAAGTGCATGAGTGATTAAAAGAAGTGCACACAGGCGATTTATTATTGTCTTTTGTTTGCAGAGAAATGTAGAGAACCAAACAATTGGCCTCTAAACATAGTTCTTTTTTCCTTTCTGAAGTTTTCTTGGAACTTTGCTGGGTCATCTTTGTGGTTATTTATTCCTGTTCTTTGTTTAGCAGAGAACCAGTGATGGTCAGGTGAAAAGCGCCCCAAAGCTAGCTGATGAAAGTTATGAAGAAGATGAAGAAGAGCATGGTGAAACACTGTGCGGCAGCTGTGGAGGAAACTACAATGCCGATGAGTTCTGGATTGGCTGTGACATCTGCGAGAGGTGGTTTCACGGGAAGTGTGTGAAGATAACGCCTGCTAAAGCCGAGAACATAAAGCAGTACAAGTGTCCATCTTGCAGCTTGAAGCGGGGCAGACCGTAGAGATCGAGAAACCAGAGGCCAACAATCAATTGTGTTGCTTTCGATGCTGACATAATAGTATAGCCAATATGATATTACCTTTGTAATGGATCTGTTGTTGTGATGCATCCATGTTGAAAATCAGAACCATAGAACAATTTATAGGGTTTTTTCATTGTTGTAGAGATGCTTTTATTATGTTTATACAGCATAATAATAATAATGTGTGCTTTTGGAGTTTCTAGCCTTTGATCTTTAACTACTTTTGCGACGAAGATTATATTCCTGATGATAATTTGATTATCTTCTTCTTTTTTTTTTTTTTTTTTTTTGTTTATTTTTTTGTTTTTTTGAGTGATAAGGGAAGCACATATCTACTATCAAAGAAAGTGTGGAGTGTGCTTAGCTGACAAAGGACTATAAGAGCATAGGACTATAAGAGCATTGGGTTTTTAGAGAAATTTTAGTTTTTGTGGGCCCGAAAATGAAGAAAATTACGCGCCTATGCCCAGCAAGGGGTGCGTCAATGTTTTTGTTCAGGTGATCGACTCAAATTAAGAAGATTAATTGGCTGCTCCGATTCGAGTCAAACCTGCAGTAAGGCTTCCTTTGTCTTAGTTGTTGGATGATACAAAGAGCATGCAGACAAAATTTGTTCTCCTTGTCATCACGCTGTTTGCCTTTGAAGTTTGAATCTTTGATTCCTAGATTTCTTCACTGTTGATGTAAACTAGGTCAAATGTTGTTGAGTTTTGGAAGCTGACGACTCTTGTCACCCAGCTTGGTTTATTCCGAAACGTATAGTATTACAGACACTCCGTGGTATCCCTACCTACCCACGTTGCCATTGTATGCATCGCCTTGCCACCTTTTTCTGGTGACACAACTTCTTAAGCCTTGGCAGTTGGCAGGGTCTTTGCATTGGGTCTTCCATGCCTGGGAAAACCACAGAGCCCAAAATGGGGTCCGAGGGATCGTCTAAAGAGCGGCTAAAATGGACGCAGGAACTGCATAATCTGTTCGAGAAGGCAGTCAATCAGCTGGGAGGTCCAGAAAGTAAGTAATCACTTTAACAAATTCATTAACATTTATGTTAGTTTGAGCTTCAACTTTGAAACTCTAATATCATTCTATCTGCACTTTTTTTCAGGAGCAACTCCCAAAGGTATTTTGAAGGTTATGGGCATTCCTGGATTGACAATCTACCATGTTAAAAGCCACCTGCAGGTTCTCTCCCTCTCTCTCTCTCTCGCTGTGTTGAGCATACAATATATAAACATAAATGTGCAGTCCAATTATCAGTTTAGCCTTTTAGTTGAGACAGAACACATCCTTCAATTTAGTATTAGAGCCACAATGATCTAATGCATTTTTTTTTTTTTTTTTTTTTTTTAATATCTGCAGAAATATAGGATGTCCAAGTTTGTTCCTGAAGATCCCATCAGTGAGTCTGTCATCTTTTGCAGTTGGAAATCTCATGATCGAATCGGTTAAGCTTTTTCTAAAATTTCTGTTTCTTTTTCCTTCCATCTCTGATGCAGGAGGCAAGTTTGAAATTAAAAGCATATCGGAAATACTCCCCAATTTCAGCGCAACATCGTGAGCTTCTTTCTGCTTCCAATCCCATCAACATATATAAATTTCATGTTCAATTTGTCTTTGAGAATTCCATTTCATTCAATTCTTTGCTCATCTTTACAGAGGTGCTCAGCTCAATGAAGCCCTGCAGATTCAAATGAACGTTTACAAGCGACTCAGCGATCAGCATGAGGTACCACTTCCACTGCACATTTATTATCGTTCTGATATCACTACGCCAAAAACTATAGCCAGTAGGGAAAGACCTAACTTTATTTTCTTAAACTCGACTTTTGTTTGAAGGTACAGAGAAGCTTGAAGATGAAAATGGAAGCACAAGGAAGGTTTCTAGAGAGAATAATGGAGGAACACAGAATGAAAGCAAGCTGCAGCTCCAAGCCAATAAGCAAGTCCTCCTATTCTCCCATAATGTCATCACTTCCATCTCTCTGCGAAGACTCCGAATCAAACGTGAAAGACATGGAATCGGATTCAGAAGTGGTTGACAGGAACGAGACGATGAGGTCTAATGAAGAAGTGTTCCCACAGCGAAAACGAATTCGGTTTGATGATAATGAAGCCATGTCCCAAAGCTACAGCTTTGCATCAGAATCTCTCAACAATAATCTGCTTCCGTTTTCGGGTATGGAGATGAACAACTTCCCGTGGAGTTTTATGTCGTATCAATCTCCCATGTTGCCGGCTGCCATGTATGATTCTCGCTTATTTGAATAAATAATGTTTGCATTGCAGAGGATAGTATATTATTGCATCTGCAAGGGATTGAACACTACTAATAAAACCATATATATATATATAGTTTGTTGTGTGGTAGGTGAGGTGTGTCATCTTGATAAGCTAAGTGCAATTAACATCACCTTAGGGTTGTACTTAGTCATCAAGATGGAATATGCTTTGTAATATATTTACTTCAATTCCTACTTTTAACGAGATAAGAAATTTGTGATATAATTTTCTGGTATCACATGTTATGTTAGTGATGTAAAGAGGAGATAACATAATTTGTCAAGCACAAAATACTCTTTTGACATGGTGTGCATGTGATATTGTGTGTTTGTCATTTTTTACCGTGAGGAACATGATACTTTAAGAGTCTGTTTAGAACCCTAGAAAATATTTTTCAGGAAATGATTTTTTGAAAATAATTTATTTTTCAAAAATTATTTTAAGTTGGGAAAACTACCAGGACTATATGATCTAATGGTACTCGGATTGGACTTCTATTTGGAAGATTATGAGTTCAAGCCTCAGTGGAGGCGTTATTGGTATATATACTACAATGTAACAGAGCCAGTAACTTTCAAAAAAATTTGGAAAAACTACTTTTCCTATTTTATTCATTTTCTTGAAAATGAAGATAAATATGAAAAATATTATAAAGTTATTTGTTTAACAACAACAACAATGGTGGCAGTGACCGTGGTGGCAGTAGCGGTAATAAAAATAATAATATTCAAAAATTAACTTGAAGAGAGATGAGAGAGACAAGAAAAATAAAGAAAATATGACCTTCGACTATAAATCATGAAGACATTTTCTGTCAAATTGTGCATTTTTCTATTGACCAGAATGAAATTTTCCTTTGACTTTATTTTCTTTGAATATCCAAACACAGGAAAATATATATTAGGTTTCTAAATAGACTTAAAAAAAAAGTACTGACAATATTACATTGTAGTATCTATTCATAGGTTTTTAAATAGATTTTAATTGTCTTAGATTTTATGATTCTCATTTTGGGTGATTTTTGGAAGCTTATCTATTTCACTAATTGGAATTGACGAGCTTAGTCAATTCGGGGTCTAACGCCCATTTAGACTTGGTGCCACGAATGAGTTAATGTTGTGAGTGGAGAAGAATTGGAGAGTGGTTATAGAAGTGGAGAGAGAGACAACTAGACAAGATTAGCTTGTTTAGATTGGATTTGTATTAGTTTGATGTTTTTTTTTTTTTTTTTTTTTTGAAAACATACTAGTTTGATGTTAGTTATGTATTTGTTCTAAAAAATCGTCCCCACTCAAATTCTACCTCTCCAGGAACGTTATGCTGTGAGCATGTGTTCACTTTGCAAGGTGAACACGGTTCTATATCCATAATTTCTATATTGTAGATCCATAATTTTTATATTGTAGTTTTATAAAATTTATATTTTAGATTCATAATTTAAATACAATAGATTCATAATTTTTATACAGTAGATTCATAATTTCTATACTGCAGATTCATACTATTTGTATTGTAAATTCATAATTAAAGGACTGTAAATTCATAATTTCTAAACTGTATAGTTATCAAATTATGAACATATAGTTCTCTGATTTGTGAAAACAAAGTTCAACAATTGAAATCTAAAGTATAAATTTTATGAATCTACAATATAGAAATTATGGATCTACAGTATAGAAATTATGAATATAGAATCGTGCCTACCTTGCACGTGCTCACAGCATAATTTGCCTAGGTTCAATCGTTATGCTATAGAAATTATGCATGCTGGACACGGTAACGGTGCCGTTAGTGGCACCGTTCTCTTCCACATTTAAAAAAAAAAAAAAAAAAAATCAGACCACTTTGTTATAGGAGTATATGTTCATAATTTTATCACTATATGTTCATAATTGTAAGTTCATAATGTTAGAGCTCTGTGTTCATAATTGCATAACTGTACATTCATAATTGCATAACTGTACATTCATAATTCCGTAACTGTACATTCATAATTCAATAACTGTAAATTCATAATTTTCGAAACTCTATGTTCACAATTTTAGAGCTCTATGTTCATAATTTTATTACTATATGTTCATAATTGTAAGTTCATAATGTCAGAGCTCTGTGTTCATAATTCCATAACTGTACATTCATAATTGCATAACTGTACATTCATAATTTCATAACTGTACATTCATAATGCCACAAACGAATAACGTCATTAACGGCGAGATAAAAGCAATTTTTTTTTTTAACTGGAAGGCCGCGTTTTCCCTTAAAACGACGTCGTTACAGCATAATTTGCGGCCTAGGTTGTACTCGTTTGCTTTTGTTTAGATATATACCTCCAATCGTTATACCCTACACCACGGCACGCGTAGCACTGTGCGCCGCGCGCCTCCCAAAACGACGTCGTTTTGGGAGGCGCGGTAGGAAGTTGCTGTGATTATGTGTATTTGTTCACACAATTATGTGTATTTGTTCATACAGTTATGTACACTTTTTATCATGTACATTCTTTTTATACAATTATGTACATCCGAATCAGAAAATTTGTGTGTATTATGTTAAGAGTTGATGTGTATTATGTTAAAAGTTTATGTTTATTATGTATTATGTTAGATTATGTGTATTATCTTTTAAAAAGAGTATGTATATTTTGTTATATAATTATGTACATTCATGTATACAATTATGTGTATTCTAGTAATAACATTATGTACATTTTTGAACAACGAATTTTTTTTAAAGAAAAAATTACTGCCATTCACTGGGGCGAAAAATTTCAAAAATAAAAAATAAATTTAAAACGACGTCGTTTTGCAACTGGGCGCACAGTGCAATGCGCGCCGTGGTGTAGGATATAAATTGCCATATACCTCTTATTTTTGGGCCTTCCTTCTATGCATAATGCTAATTCTCATCTTGATCTTTTGAGTTAGATTTTATTGGGCTAGCTCAATTGAATATATTCTATCATGAATATTATATGAGAGTCAATTTTTTTCTAAGAAATAAATTATTTACTAAAATGAAAAAAAAAAAAAAAAAGAACTAGCAATAACACATTGAATTTATATTGAATGTACCTCATTGAATGTACCACCCTCCCTCCCTCTCAGAAGTATTTAAATTATTTTCTGAAATGAAAAAAAAAAAAAAGAATAAGCAATAACACATTGAATTTATATTGAATGTGCCTCATTGAATTTTTTTTTTCCATCAAGTAAAGTATTGTCCAGAAGGAAAAAAATTGTCATTTTTCTTTTAAAATATATCAAAAATAAAAACTTAAATAATATTTAACATAAATTAAAAGGAGTATGAATATGAGTTTAAAAGAACATTTTGCAAAAACTCTGACATGTAAAGAGACACTTTCTTAGAACAGAAGCAAGAGTCTCTCTATCGTTCGAGTTGAGATGAATTGTCACACTTTTGTTCGTATTTTGGTAGGAAATTTCGTGCCCATCTCTTATGAAGGCATTGTTCTTTGTTCTTAGAGATTACATAAATGATAAATCTGGTTAAGTCTATTGAGTCATTATGTTAGTTTCATTAATAGGTCAACGAAGTCGCTTATCCATAACTTAGCAAAGGTAGTTGACACTTTGCCTGGCCCTATGATTTAGGAATCTAGTCCCCCCGAATGTATTTGGTATCTAATCTCATTCGTTATGCATCTACTATTTTGTTGATTTTAATATATATATATATATATATATATATATATATATATATATATATATATATATATATATATATATGTATGTATGTATGTATGTATGAAAGGGTTAACACAATAATATAAAAGAAGAATAATTAAATAAGCCCCCATGTAGAGTAAATAGTATAATTGAACTCAACAGTAAACTATATATTCAGCAGTTTTATTGTTTATCTAACGAACATGTGGACTTCTTGTGTTGATGTAGATTCTAGGTGTAAATTTTAATAATAATAATAATAATAATAATAATAATAATAATAATAATAATAATAATAATAATAATAATAATAATAATAATAATTTTAATAATAATAATAATAAATTTAAATATTATTTTTTAAAAACAGTTATCGACAGTTGTCTTTCACGCTAAACAATTGTGAGTGTTGTCAGACAATCTCGGCTATTGTTCAGAAAATGTCATGATTTGACTCCGCAGAAAATAATTTCATTCATTCATGACCTATAAATGTCCTATATCACAAGTTAAATATGTCATTTGACTTCGCTACGGCGCTACTACACACCACACATTCACAAATATAGTACTCTACACTATGTACTATACATTTTGCTGCAACATGACAACCATTTTCGATCAATTTGTTACACATGCACATATTAAAGAGCCTAAGAAGGTATCGTGTTTGGCATTTGCACATATAGCTGATCCACATTGGAGACAACAACTTTATTAAGGAAAGCGACATGTCTGGCCTGCAAAAACCATAAAGCATAAGAATGTAACACTTCACAAATTACTTAAAAAATGATTTATTATTATCATTTAATTTATTTTCTTATCTTAAAAGGTTAAATATTGATAACTCATATCATATAATCTATATATAATCTTTATGAATCTGTGCTTTCATTGGCGATTGAACAATTACAATGACTCCATTTATATATAAATTTGAAAAACGTGCGATAATTATTAATTTAATTAATATGAATATTCTTTTATATATAGCAAAGTGTTATATTAAAAATTGATAAAATGCATAACAATTTTTTCTCATGATGTGATACACTAGCTACTACACTGGGGCCACTATCTAGGTATTATATATAAGATGTGGACATAAATATCGATGTTTGATTATAATATTTAGGTAAATTCAATAACTAAAATATTGATAATCAATTTATTCCGCAATGAAGACTCATATACTCATGCAACCCAACGTAGACATACTCTGAAAAAATATAGCAGTTTAGGGCATGCTGTGTTTGGCGCGCTATCTAAAGTCTAATGTAGGCAAAATCATGAATTTTATACGACGTACGGAGTGAAGGCAAGACGTACCAAGTCAGTTGAAGCTATATCAAACTCTTGTATGTGTGTGCGCGCGCGCGTACGAAATGAAGGCAAGACGTACCAAGCCAATTGAAGCTATATCAAACCCGTGTGTGTGTGTGTGTGATCATCTATCCCGTGCAGATAAAAATGCACCACATGCTATTTATTTTTGAACACGTGGTGATGCATTCATACATACATGGTGGTTGCAGATCCGCATGTGAAGGTCAATCCGCATCTGCAGCAGTGCAGTGGCGGTGCATCCAGTGCAGTGGTGCGGTGAT